ATTCTGAGATATCATGGAAAGAGAGCAGGAAAGCACCGAATACCAGTAATTATATCCAATCAATCGCTGAAAACACGACACTTGCAAAGAAGTTATCAACAGGCACCGGGAAGAAACATCAATAATTTGATTACAATTCCAACAAAGAATGGCAAAATGCAAAAGCAAAACACCAGCCATTTCGTACCAACCATTATGTTAGCGAATACTATGTCACTGGTTCCTAAGCTGAGTGAAGTTGAAGAACTAATCTTAAGGGAAAAAATTCAGGTCTGCTGCATCACAGAAACCTGGCTGAAAGACCACATCAGCGACACAGTTGTAAACATTGAAGGATATAACATCACACGGAATGACCGATCATCTCACGAGCATGGAGGAGTCTGTGTATATGTCAAGGAGGACGTCAAATATGAAATTCCCGAGAAGTTACGTTGCTGTAACGACCATGAAATAATCTGGCTCAAATTAGATCCATCACGCTCTCCCCGCGGTTTTTCTTGCATCTTGCTGGCCGTCGTTTACTACCCAGGCCGTAACAGTTCAGCAGAATCCGACATTCAGAATTTGCTCAACCATCTATTTGACAGTTTGAAATCAGCCGAATCTTTGTATCCAAATTGTGGAATTATTGTCACTGGCGATTTTAACCGTCTTGATATTTGCCATTTGCGGAACCATTTTAAATTAAAGCAGCTTGTTAAATTCCCCACAAGAGGCCAGGCCACGCTTGATCTAATACTATCAAACATGGGCAATCACTTCTCAACGCCCGAGAGCTTTCCCCCCCTTGGTCTGTCAGACCATAGCACAGTCATCGTAAAGCCGAAGGAAAGGATACTGAACCAACATACCAGGAAAAAGATCAATATCAGGGATATGAGAGAAAGCAAGAAGACAAGTCTCGGCCGCTATCTCAGCAATGTCGACTGGTCATGCATCAATATGCAAAGCTCCTGTGAGGGAAAACTCCGCATTTTCAACGAACTGATAACAAACGGCATAAATAACATCATGCCAGAAAGGTCGATTCAAGTTTACCCGAAGGACGCCCCTTGGATGACAATAAAACTCAAGGAGTTGATTCGTTTGCGTCAAAATGCATTTCATTCCAACAAGAAGGGTCCAGTTCTCAGATTCTACCGCAATGCTGTCCATAGAGAAAGGAAACTATGCAAAGTAGCCTACTATACTTCAAAAGTGCAAGATCTCAAAGGTATGAATCCCCGTCAGTGGTGGTAAGAGATAAATAAACTGAGTGGATCCAAAAAACAAAACCCCAATTTACTGTCCTCCCTCGATGTACAGCAATTCACCAACATGTCCCCCCAAGAAATCGCCAGTGCAATAAATGAAGCTCTTCTAGAACCGCTCCAGTCTTATCAGCCTATCAACTGTGAGAACACGTCTGTTCTCCTTCCTACAGGAGAAGGCGCCGAATTCGCCTAAAATAGCAACACATCGAGTGTACATTAATCTAATAAAGGAATACGCCGAAATTTTAGCACAGCCCATAACGGACATTTTGAACACTTCCTACAAAGAACAAAAATTGCCGTCAGTTTGGAAATCGGCGAATATAACACCCCTCCCAAAGGTAAAACAAGTGACTGATCCCAAGAAGGAGCTAAGGCCAATTTCACTTACACCTGCGTTATCAAAACTTGCTGAGGATTTTATAGTTTCTGAGTTCATCAAACCGGCCGTGGAAAAAGTAGCGGACCCAAATCAGTTCGGAACGGTATCTGGATCATCCACTGTACTGGCACTCATAAGCATGATACACAATTGGCTTGAAGCAACAGACGGAAATGGAGCGTCAGTTCAGGTCCTTCTTTTTGATTACCGAAAGGCCTTTGACCTAATAGATCAGTCCATCCTAATATCAAAACTGAATCAACTGGACATTCCAAAGAGCGTTATTAACTGGATAGTTGACTTCCTTTCAAATAGGTCTCAGAGAGTTAAACTTGGCAATGACTGTTTCTCTGAGTGGAGCAAAGTGCCTGCCGGAGTACCACAGGGAACCAAACTGGGCCCCTGGCTTTTCCTTTTAATGATAAACGATTTGTCAGTTTCGCTCGACATTTTTAATCTGTGGAAATATGTTGACGATACGACGGTATCAGAAACCGTCCCGAAAGGAAAGATTAGTCACGCGCAAAGTGCAGTTGACCAAGTACAGTCCTGGTCTGAGGAAAATCTATTTCAATTGAATTGCGCAAAAACCAAAGAACTGTTGATCAGCTTTAGCCCTCAATACCCCCAATTTCCAAAAACCAACGTGGACAGGGAACTAATTGAATCTGTGCAGTGTGTTAAACTTCTTGGACTCAATATTAATTCAACTCTAACTTGGAACAACCATATTACAGAAATAATAAAGAAATCCAACTCAAAACACTATTTTTTGATTCAATTTAAGCGGGCTAAAGTACCTACAATCGATCTTGTAGCAATCTATTGCGCAACCATCAGGTCCTGCCTAGACTACGCCTGCCCAGTGTTCCACCATGCACTTCCGAAATATCTACAAGTCGATCTGGAGAGAGTGCAGAAAAGAGCCCTCGCATGCATCTTCCCTGGAGCATCATACAAAGAAGCCCTCGATCAAGCAAACATCCCAAGCTTGAGAACCCACCAAGAACAGTTGACATCGACACTTTTCCGATCAGTTTTAGAAAACAGAAACAACAAAATTCATTCTTTAATCCCAAAAAGTTATCAGGCTAATTACAATTTTAGGAAACAGAGGAATTTCAATCTTAATCGTTGTAAGACCGACAGAGCGGCAACAAGTTTCATAAATATGTGTTGCAGAAACAGTTTGTGCAATTAATTAATGTGAAGTTACGCAATTCAGTTTTATCTGCAATGTAATTTTAATAAAACACAGTCTGTCTGTCTGTCTGTCTGTCTCTCTGTCTGTCTGTCTATCTGTCTATCTGTCTATCTGTCTATCTGTCTATCTATCTATCTATCTATCTATCTATCTATCTATCTATCGATTTGGAAGTATGTGTCGATGACCTCAGGGGAAATCACCAAGCTAACAAATGTGCCTTGCATCTTTCTGCCAGTTATTCTATTGACTGTAACCCACCATTCTTTAGAGTCTTGGTTGAGAAAAGGCCATTTGAATTTGCTCTTCTAAAGGCAATTGCAACCAACAGATCAAAACAAAATATTTTGATCATGGACTTAAGGAACACTTAGCAGAGGATTACTATTTTGTAGGGCAGATAGCTGCAACTGCCCTTTTACAGAATGGGCAGGCACCAAAGTATTTTTCTGAAGAACTGTTGAATGACATTTTTGTTAGTGATGAATTAGCCAGTTCAAAGTGTGTTTCAAAGCTTCATCAAGGACTAGATACTCCTGGAATTCACTTGTTTGCCCAAAAGTTCCCAATGTTCCTTTACCTGCTTAGACCACCCCAAAACAATACCAAATTGAAAGTTCCATTCATCCTTCATCTCCTTAAACCCATGTTCTCTGAGGAAGGCTCTAACAGTCTAAAGTACAAGAAAGCTGTTTGTAGTAAGTTTGTCAAGTACCTGCAAGATGTGACAAGTGGGCGTACAGTGACCACATTGGAAAACATATTCGAATTGGCCACAGGAGCAAGTGAGGAGCAACTGTTGGGCTTTACCCAACAATCAAGCATTTATTTTATGGTTCCCTATGTGCCTGCTAGAAAGATCACAGAAGACAACATCGGTGAAGAACAGGTAAACAATAGTATGTAAATGATGACTATGGTATTAGCCACTCCAAGCTTATGGGTTGTGTCACCAGACCTGCAAATATCATCATGTTAATTGACAATTAGTTGCTGATTAGTCGCTAGATTTTCCTGCTGAGCAATCAACTTCTCACGCTTGTACTTGTCCTATTGGCAAGGACCAGGCAAGTCATCTTCTAACTAAATCATAACCTGAAACATTCATTCAATGCCCTCAGGCTAGCAAAATGTGAGAACAGCTTGTTCAAACACAAGCTGGAATTCAAGTTTTTTTGAAGTCCTGCTACACGTATTACTGTTTGTTTTCCAGTATATGAGATTTTTGATAGCTCAAAAGTCATTTTCACTCTGTTATTTTTTCCAGGGTACACAAAAGAAAAGGATCACTACTGATTGCTTGCTAAAGGCCCATACCTGTTCTAATACTTTACATTTACCAAGAGGAACCCCAAGCCTCCCTCTGCCAGCAGATGGAGAATTGTTCAAACTTTATGACCATGCTTTCAAGAATGTATATTTTCGGGTTGTCTGACAAGGTTCCTGACAGTAAGTTTTATTGATAGTAATGGTCAGGCAGGATCAAACTTCAACATGTTAAACCCAAGCAGCTCACAAATTTCCTTATTATTATTGAACAATAAGATGCACCGAAAGTACATTGGTTTATTTAACCTTGCAAATTTAAAACAGCTAGCATCAAAACTCAACTCTGTCATTTTTGAACTTCCTTTCTTTTCCTCACTGGTTTTAGAGTATCTTCGATGCTTTATTCAACGTTTCCAAGTTTTCCTCAAGGTTATGAAGAGCATGCTTAAAAAAGGTTCTCCTTGCTCATAGAATTAATTACATCGAATAAACCTTCTTTACAAGAAGTAGATATTCTTGTTATTCGAAAAAACTCATTGGGAATAGTTTCACTTGCAATTAAGCAGGGTTACTTTTAATTGGGAGCAAGTGATTGGAAAACATGTATTCAAACATATTAAACTAACATGTCTTAACAGTTGGTATCATAATTTTACATTTAAAGTTAACCATGAAAACGAATGTATGTTTACCAGATTGTTTACCCAAAGGGTCTTGAACTGGTCAACCAAGAGACCTTGTTTGGTATTACTGCAATCTCCCACGACACAACAATGATATGACAATTGAACTAAACCACCTTGTTTATGCACTATTATATTTATTCAGTTCAGTTAAATAGTTTGGCCATCCCCTTTCAGGAGTTTATCAGTAGGCTACTCATTAAATACAATCTTGAAAATTTGTCTTAATCATAAGTTTTATTGGGAAGCACTTCAATTCTGCCATCTTTTTGTGGGAAGAGTGTTACCCAGTACCACACCTTTGTTTTTACTCCCACCAGTTCCCAAGATTAAATGAATGAGTCATTCAAACTGAATAAATTCAGCGCAATAAATTGGATATCAGTGACCAAATTAAAATATGTTAATTTAAAATTGAACAAATACAGAATGAATGAATTGAATAAGTATCAGTGTTCAGATTGAATGACTTTTAGTAGATTAAACTGAATAAATATCAATTATTAAATTGAATGATTGCAGATTGAATTGAATGAAATTGAGGATTAAATTGGATAGAAGTAACCAAATAGCAAAAGCAGGTATTAAATTGAATTAATTTATAAATATTGAATATTGCTTCATTTGGCTTGGAATAGGTCGTCCCTTGTGTCACAGAAACTAGCATCTTTTCGTTGAGGTTTAGCAGGGATAGAAGGTGGCACAGTAACAACTTAATGATCAGACCTCACCAGACCCTTGTGCACCTTGCCAGATTTCCAAAGCAAAGGAGAGTTAGTCAGAAAAAACATGACATATATTTTCCTGCCTAGTAGGTACTTTAACCATTTGATGCAGACCATGTTGTTGCAAAAGATCCTTTACTTTCAACTGATTTCTCACCTGCAATTACTATCTTTGCATTTGGATCATAATGCAGAATTTGATCACAGGTATCAGATGAAAACTTCAGTAATTCAGCTGGTTCATAAATGGGGTCAAACGGATAGTAAATGCTGGCAGCATAGTATCCAGAATTTGGAGTTGTTATCTTGCACCAGAGGGTTTCAGACTCAAACTTTTCATTGGCAATGATCACTTTAATTTTCCAGTCCTTTCTGCTGATAACTGCAACCCCTATGCCAGAAGTATTCCATTCCAGTCTTTTCTAACCATCACATAACTAACAGGGCAGATCAAGTGGGACAAGATTTTTATGTTTAGCCAAGATTCAGAAACAAAGCAGATATCAATATCATTACTGCTCAGTTCAGCACACAAGGCTGGAGCAGCATCAGCTTCTGCTAGAGAGTGAGCATTTATAACCATACATTTTGGAACTGCATGAGGAGAAGTAGGAGTCTTTTCAATTTTCACTGAAATATGCAATCATATTGTCATGTAATGCTTCTTTACATTGCATGACCAACAACATGAACCCACAATGGGAATATTTAAAAGCAAATCCCACTTTTCCTCGACCAATTTGCCTGCTCTGCAAGCCCAATAAGCCATTCTTCTGTACAAGTGGTTAAAGGTAGGATGAAACTGTGATGTAGAAGTTGCATATGGACATAGGTGGTATAGTTCTTCTCTAGAGTAGACCTATTAGCAAGTTGAAATGCCACTAGCAAAATTAGCATAATCAGCATAAAGTGAGCTGACAACAGTATGTTCTGAAGTTCCAGAAACCTGAGAAACTGATCTTTGGCCCTGACCAGGGCCCTGACAGTGCGGAGTAACATTATTAGGTCCAGGGTTAATTTTAACATGTATTGCCACAGTTAAATCCATTGCAAAAGGGCAAAGGAAGCAGACATGTCCACACTTAGTCCAGCAATTATTGATTACTCAATTCAATACAATCACATGGAAGTTTAGCCCCACTATTATTTGTACCATTTGCAACAACATTTACATAAACCTTTAGTGTGCACTAACAGTTGCCTACACAGTACCTAATCTCTACAACAGAATCCCAATGGAATTTTAAAACCTAAACATCTTGAATTCTCAGACAATGTTAGAACGTTACTTGGGCTGGCTTTCACCTTGACATGAATAACCTTACAAAAATGTTGAGGAATTTGTTCTCTTATAACGTCATTGAGAATGTTGTAAGAAAATTTCTTAACGATAACTTCACCTCCAATTCTCCTCAGAGTGCTGTTCATAAGGAAAATTGTTTGTATTTAAATTACCACATATCACTCCTTTTTCCATCACAACACAATACAGAATTAAGAAATTTTCTGACACATTTTGCAGTAACCTTGATATTAAGTTGGTGTTTATCCCATTTGAAATTGAGGGTTGGTTTGGGATCAAGGATCATATCCCTTTGGGTTGACGATTGCAAGTTACTTATATGTTTTCATGTGCAGGCTGTAGTGCCTGTTATGCTGGTGAAACCAACAGACACATTGCCACTCGCATCCATGAACATCTCTCCTCTGACAAACATTCCCAAATTTTTGCACTTGAGAGGTTCTGAAAATTGTTGCTCCCTTTGTTCAAAAGATTGTTTTAAAATTCTGGACTCTGCTTCCACAAGCTTCCAATTGAAAATTAGGGAAGCCATGCACATCCTTTGGGAGCAGCCGTCTTTAAATTCCCAGGTCAAATATCTTAATTTTTTTCCCTTTCATACTAATTAGTCTTCCTTCTTAGCTTAAATAGTCTAATTTTTTTTAATTATTCTTGTTAACATCTCACTTTGTTATACTATTTATTGCATTATTTCATATTATTTCATTTTATTTCTCATTATACAACTGATGATGGTTGATGTTTCACTCAAAACATGTTTTGTTTTCATTAAAAATTTAAAAAAAAAAAAACTTCCAAAGCATTGTGTGGTTCATCAACCCAATTAAAAAATATATATCATTACTATTATTATTTTCTTTAAGCAACCTGATCTCCCTCATTTGCCTTGTTTAAGCAACTTAACTGAGCTAGAAACTCATTTGATAACTAAACAGTTATCTAGCCCTCAGGTTCATCATTTGATCTGTTTCTCAGTCTTCTAATATATTCCATAATAAATGTGCAATTAACTAGAGTGCAAAAAGTATTATGTCTAAAAAAGGTTTTCCTTGTAATAAGCACTTTCAATAGTTATTTGTGAAAGAAAGTAAATTAAAATAACTAAATAAATAAATATGTAAAGTTCAACCAAGAGAACTTGATGCTGTATATTCCCTATAGAGATTTAAGAGATTGATATGGTTTTAGTAATGTCACATTTGATAAAAATTAGACAAAAAAATTTAAAATTTAAATTTGGAGACAGGTACTGTTAACAATATTCTGTTATGTTTCTCTTATTTGTGAATTGAGTATTCATTAAAAGAATGTATCAAAACAATCCAATTTTGGACATGCTGCACATGTTAGATGACTTAGGTGCAGACTATCAGGCTGGTGATTCTTGTAGTATCATTCATTAATAGCAATGATTTCATTTTCACAGAATGGATTCTGTCATTAAGGAACTTTGTGATGACAGGGAGGAATCTGAATTCAGTGACAGGTAGTTAAAAAACACTTGCTTGGATTTTGTAGTTTATGGTGCTTTGGTGTTACATAAACAGAATTTATACAGACATTCATGAGAAGCTTTACAGTTTTTGGTTTGTTGCCTTTTACATAAAATGTACTGCCTCGTCATTTTTCTAAAGCACATTCAGAAATATTTTGTTTATGTTTCGGATGTAGCATCAAAGAGCCACAAATTGACCTAGGTATAATTTTGTCCACAAAACTTTGGCACACTCTAACTTAGCATACTTTCATGATTTCATTCAAAACCAGATAGCATTTTGAACAATTTTTATCATCAAGTGCATTACATAAATTGTTTGTTTTAATTTTCTGTTCCAGTGAGGGTAACTATTCTGTAGCTGAGAATGAGTATAATGCTGTTGACATGGATATCAACATAGCAAATAAGGAAGCAACCCTGACAATGGTGGGTGACCCCTTCCTTTCAGTATGTGAAATACCTTTGTCAGGACAGTCATTCCAATCAGCTCAGCACTCCACACTTGAAGCATCACAGTGCACTGAAGTATGCCCAGGAACCCCTGCAGTTTCACAGCTGACCTCAGAGCAATGTTTGGAACACATGCCCTGCCCTTCAATCTCCCAGCATCCCAAGCAGTTGACTTTAGATCGGCCTTTGGAACACTCTAGTCAAACCAGTGAAAGGGTTGCAAATGCTCCAAAACCATCAGAGAAGGAAAAAGATGAAACTTTGGCAGAGAATGCCCCAAAAGTGTTGCAGGACCTGGAAAATGCATTCACTGGGTTGATGTCTTTCAGCAACCTTGTTAACTTGAACTTAAAAGCTATTCCCGCTAAGCTCACATGCACTCAGCTTCCCCAGAAGTGGAATGTACCTTCTGGAAGTTCAAAAACTTTAGATAAAGCAGTAAAGCTTGATCATCTGCTGTTCGAAAAAGCTGATGTTAACAAGACAAGTAAGAGGTGTTTAGTTAAAGGAATAAGGGAGGAATATTGTGCCACTCCACCATTTGCCCTGACTGTCACAGAGGAAAAGATCAAAAGGATGAGTAATGCATTCAGGGAAGTCACCCAGACTTCACTTTTTTGCAAAGCTCTTGAATCAAACAGTTACAAACCTTACGAATTATTTAACACTTCTTGTAGTAGGCAAAAAAGACAAAGACTACTAGAGGAGTGCACTGGCAATTTGGAACAAACGCCAGAGTACATATTGGTTGAAGAAATTTTTAAAAATGTACCCAGTGGCTATTGTCCTCCTGCAGATTTGAATGATGAGCAGCTTAACCATGCCATAAAATCTGTTGGTGTGAGAGTATCTGCTGCTAAAGAAATCTGTCTCAGTACCATGCAGCAAAGCAAAGATCATCGCTGGTATGCTGAGCGGTCAAAGAGAGTTACAGCATCTGTTTTTGGAAAAATAATTAATAGGAGAAAGTCACTTTATCCAAAATCACTGATCCAGTCAATTACAAAGCAAATAATCCTGCTGTGAAAGCACCAACACCATTACAGTGGGGTCTGGATAATGAAAGCAAAGCAATCAAGAAGTATGAAGAGATCCCGAAGGGAGATGAAACTGTTAGATCTTGTGGGTTTGTTGTCAGTCCCAAGTGGCCATGGCTGAGCTGTAGTCCAGATGGTATTGTGATGAGAAATGGTGTCCTTGAGGGATGTATAGAGATTAAGTGTCCTTATGCTAGTAAAGATTTGTGCATATCTGATGCTGTTAATTGTAAAAAAAACTTTTGTCTACAACAAACTGAAAATGGTTTGAAACTTAAAGAAAACCACCCATATTACTTTCAGTGCCAAGGTGTTTTGAACATTTTAAACTCAAATTGGATTAATTTTGTAGTATACACTAATGTTGATATGCACGTTGAACGAATTGGCGAGAACAAATTTTTCTGGGAGGAAAAAGTGCTCCTAGAAATAACTTCTTTTTATTTTTCCTTTATTCTTCCTTCATGTAATGGATTAAAGTTGGAGTAATTAACTATAAGCTTGGAATTCTATTAATGACAAGAAAACGTTACAGGTAAATATGAAGTAAATTCAAATAAATATGTTACTATTATTTTCCAGTCATTTTGGATAAATACAAGATGTATTAATCTTTTTCCACAAGAAGTGGGGGTAAAAAGTTTGAGGCAGCTGCATATGACCCAAATTTTATTCAAATCAGCTACCATTGAAATGGGGAAAACAGTACTTAAAAATTCTAAAGTTTTTAACTCTGGCTATTGCCTGTTCCACATGGATCCTGACTGAAGCAATCCTTCAAGTTTCTGTCTCCTCTTCAAGTGACAGGTGCTCTTTATTATGGAGAAAGGGTGGTATGTTGAGTGAGATTCCATTTGGCAGGTCACTCTCAATGTCAAATCCTTTATCAGCCATAACAGAGTCCCCATCTTCAAGCAATTTCAAAATACCACAGTCATTGGTTATTTGCTTGTCACTTGACCTTCCAGCATATAAATCTGATACAAAGGTTACAGCAGCAGATGGACTGATACCCACCAGACCTTTAGCAGTGTTGTGATGCTTGTAATTTGAATAGGTAACACTTTGAGTTCTAAAAGAGCTAGGAGTTTCAATGAACAGTTCTGAGCAGTCAATGATAACCCATGTTGTTGGATACATCTCCTTAAATGATGATGGCATAGTTTCATTAACAGATTCTCGACTAGGCCAAACTGGATAGCATCGCAGTTTCGAATGAAAAAAGTCTATCCATGTTATAAAAATCCTTGACAGCTAAGACTGAAACAAACCTGCTCTAGTGGCCAAGTCTACTTCAAGAAGTCCAAGCCGAAGCCTTACCAACACAAGGAAAGACCTTTTTGAGCCACGTTTCTCAACCTTCCCTGAAACTAGCCTGTCTGCATCTGTATCACTGCCATAATAAACAAGGCTCTTGGCCGCAGGCATAAAGGCATCAAGGAGTGTTATAAAATTCTAATTATAAAAATTATAAAAGGAAAGCTCGGGATTCTTTTTGTTGTTGGAAAAACATCCAGGCACACAACAGGTAAAGCCACCATGCCCTCCACTTTGTACTTGGTATTTTCCTCATATTTCCTTGTATGTTGTATTTTATTATCATTTATTACAGTACACCAGAACACAAACTGTTCTGGTTGTACGTAAATACATGGCTTATTATTGCAGCTATCCTCTTCAAGAAAGTATGTTTGAATGTTTAGACCACAGCATTCTTTAATATCTTTCAGACAAATTTCCAGCATTTCAGATGTTTCATTCCTTGGACATATGGCACAAAACAAAGAAGCTGACCAAAGCACTTCATTAGGTAATTACAGTTGACAGAGAAAGGCTTCCTGCTCAAAAAGCGACTGAGACAACTTTTTCTCATCATTTTTCCTCATGTTGAAGAAGAGACACCCAGAAAGTACCTACATAAATCTTCAAAGCCAATGACTGCCTTACATAAGATTGTTCTGGACCCTAAGGGGCTCGACAACTTGCACATCTACATTCAATTCCAGTGAGATTTCTTGTCATACCTGAAGCCATAATTTCCAGGTCCAGGTTTATTTTAATTCTTATTGTGTAATACATTTACAGGCATGCTGGGGAATTGGAAAATTTCAACAGCATGATGACAAAATATGCACCGAAAAAGAATGGCATTCAAGTATGCGTTCAATCATTGTTTTATGAGACTTTTATCTTCTGTGAGGGTAAAATTCATTTCAACATGTACATTACTGGACACTCATGTTTAGAAATGTATATCATGAACACCCAGATAATGCAATAGCCAGTTATCTTCTGCTGATTTCTCACAACATGAGGATTGATGCAACAATTTATTCTGATATTTCCTCACTTTGCAGCTATTTACTTATGAATTTGATGACATATTGTGATGCAATAATCAATTCCCAAATGATATGGCTGATAGAGGTCTTTTAACTTGTTGAAATTGTTTTAGCTTATCAAGGTCGAAAAATTTAGCATTTCAGGCCTACTGATTTTACTAGCTGTTCTAAAAATTTGGTGTTACAACTCTTGAGCATCTTATTTTGCAGGTACCCATACTTTACACTGAGAATTACATTGGCAGTAATAGATCACAATTATCATCTGTTCCGAAAGCCAAAGCTGAGTCAAGGGGGGGAACATGTCAGTCATTAGAAATATTTCAAAAGGATGCAGTGATACCATGCTGAGATTGTGAAAGAAGAAAAGTCCTTACATGGTGATAAGGATGCTGGAGGTACGCAGGGGATTCCAAGGCAGTTTTTCTGCAAAACTTGGTGTGGATGAATTCAACCCTAAACAAATTGCACCCACTATTGCCATGCTCTACCACATTCTAGCCAGATTTGAGTTCCAGTTTATACCATATTTACTTGTCTATAAAAAAATAACACTCAAAATCGCAGTGTGCATTATACACAGATTCCATTGTTTGTCAAGCACATGGATTCCAATTAATTGAAAATCTGGATTCGGAAAGCATGGTGTTTGTGAACGGGAGGCCTGGGGAGAAAAACAAATGTGTGAAAAAAATAATGGTTAACACTGGGTCTTTAAAGGGAAACACTGTCGGCTTTGTAAAAAGATTTTAAATTGATACTTCAAATTTTTTTCCCCAATATATTTTGTTTTATGTCTTGATATCTAGATTTACACGTCTGTAATGAAGATACAGCCACACCAAGCATTCAGATATCTTAACTGCATGTATTTATTATTTATTGTAAGTATTATTATTACCATTATTACTTATAATAATTATTATTGTTACAAGATTAAAAACATGAATGTTTAGAGTTTCAAGGAATTTATGTTTCACATCAAGAATACACCAGCAAGATTGTGATGAAAGTGGGCAAGCTGATGAGAATTGGTTCCTCATCGGCTGCCTAAAAGCAGTAAGTTGAAGGGTATTGGTTCCTCATCAGCTGCCTAAAAGCAGCAAGTACAAAGGTAAAAAGAATGTACCTACCATTACTGCTCAATCTCTTAGTTGAAGATCTTGCCTTGTCTATGTAACAGATAAAAATGGGCGGGAGCCCCTTGGGGGCATTTAAAACTGCGAGCCATCTTAAAGCTCATAAAGGTCAAACACCAATATTGTACTTTCCTTGTGAAAGGACATCATGTCAGAAGATTAGGTTTGTCATGTTCATCATGTGGGTGTGCAGTTGTCACACAGTTTGGAAATAGTCTGCATTCAATCAAAGCAAAGCTACTCCAAAAGCAACACAATACAACAGAAAAGTCTTTGAAGAATGGCAGCTGCAGCACAATAAATCTTCAACTTTAGAAGTTGACATGGCCAATCTCAAATGCTTAGATGTTCAAGCTCTGACTGTTCCACTAAAGCATAGGTTGTCAAATACATTAAACTTTTGGTTGAGCCAGTTCATTTGTGAAGGGGCCGAGCAAAATGAAGAATGGAGAGCATTATCTGTGCAATTCACTTTATTTGTTGATTTGTGTGATTAACCATCATTTAAGTGAGACAGGAGGAGAGGATGCATTAGACATTCTCAAAAAAGCTGACATCAGGCAAGTAAAGTGTTAATCGTTATGAATGTGTAGTGTGGATGGCACCTCAGTGCAAAAATTGAATTGGGTTCTAAATACTATCATTTTATTTTAACAGGTTCATGAGTGCTATAAGTTTATGCAGTTTAAATATGATATTGCCAGAGTAATTATGCTTGAAAGCAGACTTTCCTTCAAAAACAGCTCACTGTTTGGATATTACTTGAGCTACTAGACTGTTCCAGCACAATGTTGAAGAAAAGTTAGCAAGAGAATGAACTGGGCATAAATAGAACACTGCTTTAGTAACAAAAGCCAAGCAAAATGCAGCAAGATAATGTTAGCAATGTTTTAGGGGCAGTCATTGACACCTCCAAAACAGTAGAGGAAGTAATGTTGAGGATGAACTGCCAAAAACTCTAGAACACAAAGGAACAACAGATGATACCTTGTAAGAAATGGATAAACAGCAACAACTCTTCACCAAAGCAAAACACAACATGAAAAGTACCCTTTCACAGCTAAAATTGGAGAAAATGTATTGGATGCCTTACAGCAACACTGTTACACCAAAAGATTTCCCCAAAAAACAGTATGCAACGATGGAAAATAATTTTTTAATAAAAACGTTGATAACTTTTGCAAAAAACAATGGTATAACTATGAAACATAGGGCCTTAGCAACACCTGCGACACAGGGGTTAATCAAACAATCCAATAGGACATGCAAGGAGGACATGCATAATTTAATAGTAGCCACAGCTACAAAGGGTAGTGGCTAGACCTTACTTGGAGCTGGTCTAGAAAAGGAAAAATAAGGCGCTTCCTTCCCTCCACTAGCCTGGGTGGACACCTTGGGCAAGTGTTAGCACACCCTTAACCACCCTTAACTAGGGTTACAGTCCCACTGCCTTGTGGTGGCTAGGGATAGCCAAAGACTAAGGGAGCAAACCCCGACAGAAAAACCAGAGTGGGGCCCCGCAAGGCAGTTTTGACGCTATATCATTTACTGGCAATTCCTGCAGTCGACCTGGTCCCGAACGTACTGGCCCTGCCTTTCCTTTGGACTCTATCAGCAAGACTGAGAGGGTGATTCTGGGACTTGGGCAAACCAGTATCTCCATATCAACTGCCCAGGCAAGTGCATGGAGAGGCAACTTCAGCATGCCCTATGGCTTCGCCAGGCATGGAAACAAACTGGGGAGTGGCAGTTACCGGTTTTAAGTCATGGCTTGATTGGCGTAGAGCCAGACGCCAGGGGCCATTCCTGACAGTGGGAGGGGCTTTTTAGCCCCATTGGATAGCTACCGCCCACTTAAACTGGGCAGCCCCCAGTCAATAAGGTGCTTTCCCGCCACTGCCCGCCTGTCTTGCTGGGGTGAGCAGGACTTAAGTCTGGAAACAGTCTGGCAAGTGGGCTGTGACTTATTCACCTATGAATCAAGGATCTATTCGAAGACCAGCTCTTACACTTGGGAGTTGGAACGTCTGAACGATGCTGACCGGCCTTACCAAGGACATACACGACATTGATGGGGCACGCAAAACAGCTGTCATTAGCAGAGAATTGGATAGGCTCAAAGTTGATATCACTGCTTTACAGGAAACGCGCATAGCTGGTTGCGGAAGCCTAACGGAAAAGGAATACACATTTTTCTGGCAGGGTAGAGATGAAGATGAGCCTAGAGTACATGGAGTTGGTTTTGCTGTTAGCAACAAGCTAGTACAGATGGTGGAACCAGGCTCAACCAAGTCTGAACGCATCATGCACATAAATTTCAATACCGATCTAGGTCCCACCAACTTGCTTTCTGTTCACGCTCCAACCCTGACTTCGAGTACTGATGCCAAGGATACCTTTTACAGCCAATTGGATGATGCTATCAAACATATCCCAAACAACGAAGTGTAAAATGTTGATATTGCTTAGAAGCCACAAGTTTAATAGCCTTTGGCTGTCAGGTGCCACCCTCTTGAAATAAAGTCTTGTGGTCATTGACACTATTATCATAACACTTGAGACAAGAATGTTTAGAGTTTTAAGGAACTCTCGTTTCAGAACAAGAATACACCAGCAAGATTGTAATGAGAGCAGGCAAACTCATGGGAACTGGAATCAAGAAAGTGCTGCCTTGTGCTGTTAAGAATGGAATGAAATTTCTTCGAAAGCCACCGTTTTAAGGATTTGAATGAGCTTGAGTGTGGATTACTAGCACCAAGATTGGCATTTCAAAAGATTATGATGCCACCAAGAGGAAAACAGTTGAGATAACTGGAAATGTTGTTAATGTTGCAGCTGATGTGACAATTTCAATTTCGTTATTACCTCTGTTGCCAACTCAGACAGCAACTATTAAAGTTAACTTAAAGAGAAAGTTACAGTAAAAGTGAACAATAGCTCCCATGTTTGGCTATCCTTAACAGATAGATGATGTACAACCATTGTGCGAGTGGAATCTTGGAGTCTTCAAAGAAAGATCCAGCCCTGACTGATCTACACTTTCTGCAGTTATCTGCTGGACATTCCTAGACAAACCCATTGTGGAGTAATACTTGGCATCCTTAACAAAGAGCAGAGCAGTATGGCCAATACCTTCCAGCTAGCACAATTCCCCTGCAGCACCATCTGTGATTTTGTCGCAACTGCAGAGTGAAAGATTGTTGATGCCAGGGAGCACAAGCATGTCACCCATGAACACACTGGTTCAGTCCAGCAGTTGGAGAAGGTATTTACCATTGTTGACTACCATGTGGAGGGAGGGTAGATTACTTCCACTGACCTTTGATCCAAGTTCTATGATGTAATCCAGCTCAAAAATGAAAAAAATGGCTCCTTAGGAGCCACCAACTTTACAAAAGTGAATGAACCAAAAGAGTAAACTTCAGAACAAATAAAAACTTTATTGACAGGGTTTCATAGATGAAACTTTTAAATAAATTTTTTAAAAAAATTATTAATGGGGTTTCACAGGCAGGACATGTTGTTTAGGGGATTGGAAACTAGGAAAAATTTTCAATGTGGCTGACAACTGAAATCAAACCAATATGGGCATGTTTCGGCAGCCAACGCAAGCAAGGTACCCAATAGCCATACTAATTATCTCTCTGCAATTAATTTTTCCCATTTCAAAGTAGTTGTTGAAGCAATAAATAAGTAACTGTTTGCAATCATTCCAGCACATGACTTACCGACACATTGCCAACAGGTCACCAACAGGTAACAGACAGCCAAGTGTTGGCCAACACTTTAGTCTGCAACATTAAGAAAACTGTCGGCTGACAGTTGGTTGACTGTCAGCTGACAGTATCTTTTGGGAACTGTTCTTCACTTTTACCAAAGTTACAATATAAAAGTTCTGCCCTATTGTTAAATGTAAGACCATCTATGGTAATACAGGCTGCTCAGTGGCAGACACTGACTATCAAGTAAGCCAATTCCTACAAAAATTTCTTATGGCTAAAGAAGCACCATTAGGTAGAATAGCTGACTAGTTTTACCGAGTTGAATACCAACAAAGGGGATCTCCACATATTCACATGCTTATCTGGCTTGAAAATGCCCTAGTATTTGGTGTAAATGATGATGATGATGATGAAGACGTCACAGCATTCATTGACAGCATCATAACTTGTTCAAAACCAATTGACGATCCAACATTACTTCAACTTGTTT